TTTTCTCTTTTCCAAAATCAAGATTGCTCCATCCTTGTTCAGCTGTTGTGGAAAACTGTAAACTGCCTTCTTCTAGAGTCTGTACAAGTTGTGCTGAACCAGAGCCCTTTTTTTCCCGCAGGTTTTTCTCTTCGGGTGTCAGAAATGCTGTACATCATGTACAGTACATGTACACGGATAACATAACCTAGCTGGGCAGTGACGCCACGTATGTCAAATGTAGGTCACACACAGTGGGGCAATGAAAGGGCACAAGATTGAATGCAGCGCTTGGTGCACTGCGGCTGGTCCAGTTACAGGTCCCTCAAACAACATCCAAGAGCTAACTTAGGTCAACAGTTTTAAATACTCAAAGTGTGATGCACACAATGAGTTGCGGTTAAGACACCTTCAAGTGGCCAGATATCTTACGCGGTAATTCTTGAGGGATCCTCTTGGATAGGTTACGCATTGGTCAGGTCTTCAAGTTTCACCACAACACATGAGCACTCAATTTAATCACAAACAGATGTCCGTAGACAATTCTTTCAGAAGTCTCCATCTTACACTCGTTATAAAATGCTTTGATACTCTGCCTCTGTCAACGGTCAGGTTACTAGGAATAATATCTCTTTTTTGTGAAAAGTCATTAGCTCTCGGCAAAGCATTTTATTGTAAACAATTCTGGCATTTCCAGTCTCGGGCAAATATTTCAACTTTGGCATCCAACATAAAAAAAAAAATCAGTTCATATTTCACAGCCAATGTCACATGCACGCCTTTCTTTTGAAGCACAATCATCTTTCACGCGCATATGTTAGTTTTCTTTGTGCTTTTGGTATGCTGTATCGCTGCTCCTAAATACACAGACTTTGGCTCTCCCCCCCCAGCCTGAATGCTAAAATTAGGACAGTAGTGCTTTCCAACCAATTCCCAGCATATGCCGTAATTTTAAACAGATTTAATCTAGTATGTAATACACTTTTTATATTTATTCTCCCCCAAACAGTGCCTATTTTAATGAATACAGAAGATACACACTGACTAAACCACAGGCCTACTATTTGTGGTTCATGCAAGTTACTTCAGAAGACTGAAATGAGATTGATAAAAGGCCTAAAGCACTGCAACTTCTGTAATTTTTACAAGACAGTTTTGGGGAATGTTTCACTAATAATTTTGCCAAGTACGTACCGTACATGTGACAGGGAGAGAGAGAACAAAGAAAGTGCCCGGGGGGGGGGGAATGGGGCAATGGAGCAGGGGAATTGGGGGTTATCCCCCCACACTTTTGGCAGGCTCCTTAATGGATGGTCTCACAAGTGGCCCCCCATTTTGAAAAATGTCCCGCGACTCCAGGTAACTAACAGACATGCCTGTGCTCTAGCAAGTTCTTCACTGCAAAGGTCTTACGTTCATGTAAAACCAACTGATAGTTATGTATGTGGGTCGTTCCATGAGGTTGCGGCAAATTTGTGACGGTGTACATGGGTACCTTTTACCACATGTCATAACCTGTCGAGTAGGTCATTTACTTTATAAAAGTAACACACACCTCTGTATTCAGCCCTGAAAGATGTACAATTTGGAATCCACATGTAGGGAAATAGCTGTTTATTTTTATGGAACCCACGTAACAATGGACACCGTCACAAACTGTGCCCCAACCTCATGGAATGACCCATGTCGCTCATATTGTGTGATGTGCATTTCCAACTTTCCTTGGACAAGATGGCTCTTGTGAGAATTCCACATATAACAAACCTGTTATCCACCACTTATGTTAGGCCTTCCTTAAAAAAAATTGGGGGGGGGGCACAGTGGACTACTTGTATTTAGAATTTAACAAAATTAATTAATCTCTGTTACTTCAGCATCAAGGTTTATGCCTACACTGTACTTGGCAGTTCTTGTAAACTAACTCAGAATTCCATCTGGTGGTACCATGACAATTGTTCACACAGCCCACAGCAAATCTGTGGAATGTGACAGCAAATAAACTTAATGACAGAGTGAATTTTTCAATAACTGTCAGGGGAAAGATGGAGTTTCTCCTTAAAAAAGCGTTGAGGCGGGCACTCATGATTCAATGGAGGATCTGGCAAAGATATTGGCAGCTGTTGATTTCCCAGGGGTACGTTTCTGCTTGATATCGTTGACTAATGACTGTCCACAGTCATCTATCGTGTCTGCTGTCAGAGGATGGCACTGTATCTTAATAATTTCATTTTGATGGAACTTAATTTGTAAGGCAGGGTTGGCAAAGTGGGACACAATTTCTTGGAGGCAAAGTAGGAACAAAACATACCACAGACAGCAAACTAAACTTATGCAAGAATCACAAAAATATGTACCTGTATGTTTGATATTGATATTTCCCCAAACTCTGATACTTCGAATTTGGTTATAAATTCTTCTATGTTCTTTGCATCACTGAAATACACCTTCTTGTACTGACTGATTAATAAAAACATTGTACTGTAGTCGGACATTAACTGCGTATTATTTACAACAGGATTCCAGCCTCTGTTCTGAGTTTTTCCTATTCATTCATTCACTTCTAAGAGGCTGGAGTTTAGCCCATGGTGTTAAAGTTGTTAAAGCTTCTACTTGGCCAAAACTAGAGCTTAACCCAATCTTGTCTTGTTAGTTTATCATTAAAACTGAAACATGCAGCACGAGAGATCGGGTACAGTTTGTTATCATGGCACCAAGCAGAGAGCTTGTGGGGCACCAGGCTACAGTCCTACATGTACCTGTGCATATCAATTACCATATGAGCCAGTTTGGTTTTCCAACAGTGCATGCCCAAAATGAAGCCTGTCCGCGGCCATTCGGACACACGTGTGAGGTCTACCCTATAAGCGTGGCATTGCACGGAATGGAGCGTGTGCTTTGTTCCCGAATGACCTTGCTGTTTTGAAATACCGACCTAGCTCCTTGTGACCATGTTCCTAGGGTATTAAAACATATTCGAAAGGTATTGAATGTATGCATGGGTTAGACATGGCTGGAGCTGTACATGTTTTGCTTGTTGACAACATGCAAAGGTAACTTTCCCTTCTGTCACTTATTACGGGTGCGGGGGTTGCTTACGTTCTGGCAATGATGAATTCAGGCTTTTTTTGTTTCACAAGGCCAACTGTATGGGGAAGTTTTGAAAATTTCACTTAATTTTATGCAACACCTACACCCAACAGCAAACAAAACACAAACGAGCCATTAGAGAAAGTAATTCCACTGAATGCCTACTGTCAACCCCATTCCATTACCAGTTGAGCTCGGGGAGTGTAGTCTTCTATACAGAAAATAGGTATGACCAAAAACTTCTTTAAATATTGGGCAATTAATCTTGGTCAAGTTGGTAGTCTAACGAAAGGGTAAAAGAGTAGAACGTGTGGGGCTGTAACTTAGGCATCCAGTTCAATGGCATACTTCCCGAACCAATCAATGTTCAGTTGGTGCAGTAACAGTACACTTATACACTTTGGTGTGGGACATTTTGAATGGCAGTCTGTGATATTTATCACCTGCAAAAACAGCTGAAGATGCCCGGAATAAAAGGTGCTATAGCGGCTCGTCAAATGCAATTAAGCCATTAAGTGGAGGATAGCAGGGGTGGAGGGGAAAGATCACTAAGGAAGAGATATATGCGTTTACGACATGCAGGGAAAAGTACAAAGGACCAAAGTGGTACACCAACTGAGAAGCAAGTGACAATGTTAAAAGAATCAGGCGTCTCATTTCTTTTAATTGTGCACGAACTAGATGTTCCAGCAATGGGAGTGCTTCATGACAACACAATGTGTAGCTCATTACCGGCACTGCTGGTGTGCACATTGGTAGGAGCACTTGCGTGTGGGATTTCAATGTGGATGGTAGACTGCCATGATACCAAACGGGGGGGTTCACTGCTGCACAGACATCAATGGGACTCAAAGCTTCCCTTGAATGAGAATGACCAAACCTGGATTCTCTGCCATCTTGAATCCAAAAATTCTCCCCCGGAATCTATTGGACTGTGCACCATCTAATCATGTAGTTTGGTACGGTGTTGATGGCGCACCTATTTTATGACCAGAACCGTTTGTTCAAATGCTGAGAAAGTGTAAGTTGTGCAGGTTGAGACCAAGCTTCCCAGCAAAAACACCAAGCAGTTAGAATTACCAATTATAAATTGGTGTCAAGCACGGAAAAATGGTTGAATAAATGTTCTCTGTCCCTATATTGTACAATAAAATTCTCAATAATCTGTAGTTACCTTTAACTGTTGCTGTCCTTGTACAATTGTAGAGGATAGCTAGCTCTCCGAATACCTTGCATTTGCCCATGGTAGTTAGGAACTTCCCATCTTTCGTCACCTCCACCTTGCCATCTGTAAGACAAGCACAGGTACCAGACCAAATCACATGCTGCTTTTGAAATGACAAGATTTTCAATGTTTTTCTTTGAAAAAGAAAATCTACATTACAAGAACTGCTGCCACCTGCTTGTTGGCTACAGTGACCAAAAATATACGAATCAAAAAAGTTAAGGGCCTCACAATTCAGATCCTCGTCCCATTAATATTTTTCTTTGCCTTTGAGAAGGATTCTGCAAACAATCGAAATGCCACGCCCTCGACCTTCTCCAGTTTGAGAGGTATTTTTTGTACAGCTGAAAGAATTGAATGTATACATTTTATTAATATACTGTACATGCAAGCTACATGTACATGTACGTATGTAAATGAGCAGATACCAATGAAGTATTGAAGGCTCTCCCAATGCTCCTAAAGCGACCTGTCCCTCGGACTCCAATGAAGAATTTAGTTATTAAAAAGAGCAGTCTAGATTGAACCTGCTAGAATTTGCTGTTATTCTGAAGGCCCTGTTTGGCTCCTGTAATTGTACTCTACATACTCGTATGCAGACATATAACTCCGCAAAAATTCAACAAAGTCACAGTATGATGGCACATGATTCCTTTGAAATACTCTCGATTTAAAGAACTGCATGTGCAGTGGCCCCAATGGGACAAAACAGTCCTGAATGTCTCAAATTTCCGAGTCGTGACAAAAAGCGTGATGTCCCTTCAGGGCCATCGTACTGAACGGCTTTTGGCTGGGATGGGGAAGCCCCTGAAATGGTAGGAGAAGCACACGGCCGGGAAATGCCAATCCAACTGCAGAGGGATCTCAACGATTCTCCCCTGGACTGCGGAGACAAAAAGGGGTTCTGACACACACGCACACACAAAAAAAATGTGTACACTGACGCCACAATTCCAAATCAAATTCTTTTCCTTAATGTGAAAAGAGACGCAAACGCTGAGCTGGAAGTGCAAGACTACTGTGAGGTTACGTCTTCCCTGACGCCAGCATGTTTGCATTGAATTACCTCTGTAAAACTACTGACGCCAAGCTTCTTAAATCCTTGTCGCTCTCGCAGATACTGCGGATCAGAAATTAATGTGCACTTATAAGATTTTGCAGATACAAAATTCTCTGCATGTGCCAAGAACCTCAGACTGCTGAACAGCATGCACATGTAATGTACAAACTCAGTCAAAAGCCAACTACATATATGTGAGTGCATGCAATTGTTCTTGTACTACAGTAAGTAGTCTCGGACAGCGTGGACTTCGTTCATAATCATTGGCAAAACATGCAGATACGTTGTACATTTACTGGCCTTGTTCACTGCCCTGTACAATTTTATGCACAACAGCGTTTACATATACCAATGTCAGTAAATAAATAAATAAATTGGGACTTTCATTGAAAACTGAACACGAAAACAAACACAGTGTGTAAAGAGACAATCTGCCACGAGTCGAAGGGCACCCTCATTGGCACAGAAGAGACAGGCTGGGGAAAAGTTTTTCAACACGGCTTGTGCATGCGCATGCCGTACATGCGAAGACAGCACACGTACATTCAAATAGAAATGGTCACGTGTGCCGAGTGCCTCTCGTGTCAAATGTACATGAACCTCTGTGCTCACACAATGAGCTCCCAACAAAGGACAGTCAATGTTATTTAAAAATACGCCCTCTCTTGTTCCTGCTCGGTGCAGATAGACTGGCCAACTAAAGAAATCATGTATAGTGAAAGCACAATGTGTGTCCAGTGAGTAACACCTTGACACCACAGCTGACTGCACATGCATACAACCTGTTGGTTACTTTCGTATCAACTTGCAGTGTTCAAATGAATTTTCATGTCAGGAAAATTGAACTGGACAGCTTCACTACCGTGTAACTACAGTTGAGTTTGCTGGATAAAAGTAATTAAAACAATAAACTCTGAAACAAGATTTCCCGGGCACACATTAGGAGAAATGTCTATTGCACATCACCTGTTTACTGACAGGAAAAATGTGTTATTGTGTACACTTTACAGGAGACTGACATCTCTATCTTAGCTGAATTTTGTCATATGCAAAAAAAAAAAACACGAAGAAAAATGTTGCAAGGAAGATGGATCAGAATGTTAGGCTTTCCTCCCTGTTAAAGTAATAAGTACATGTGAGAAAAACACAGCTTTCAAAGCTGCAAATGCCGTACATGTAATAATAAACAGCAATATGTGAATACTTCTAAATGAGACAAACCAAAACAAATGGAATTTATGCCTTACACTCCTGATGGCACAGGATGCTCCGAGGTGTCCAGATGGAAGGTCCACCCACACATGCACAGGTTGAAAGTACACTCCCAAGGTACACACTACATTGTGACTTATGTAGCAACAGCAATCAAAGTTACTGAAGCGGCAAGAAAGCACACAGGTGCCACATACATGTAGATTGAGAAAAAGCTTAAGAAGAACAAAAGGAGACTGTCAATCAATGGAAACAACTCCTGTCCTGTGTTGTTGTGGTGGCTGTGGCCCTTACCAGGCACCATTAGGCCTCTCTTTAATCCGGGGAGAGATGCCCCTTGACTGACACACCCTTCTTGTTCTTCTTCAATGGAAGCTTCTACAACTTGGTCTGACCCTGTGTGCAAAGTCCTTCCACGAGTTCCACTTGACTGCATGTAAGGTACATGTACCAAGAACTAACCATGATGTGTTTGCATTGGACTTCACTCTGCCCCTTAAGGCTCAATAAGCCATTTGCGAGTTAAATTTGAATAAAATCTGGTACACTGAGTTCTCCAAATGCACGTGAACTTGAATTCTCCATACTAAAACCACTGTTGCTATACCAGTGCCTCGTGAATCGGGGCAAGCTTTTGATTAGTTACATACGAGAAGCCTTGCAACAATACACTGTTCTCAATGGATAAGAAAAAGGAACCAGTCCATTCCAGAGATGGCGGTTGCAATGCAAAAGCTCGCCCCGAATCACGAGGTATAACGACAGTGTCTTTAGTCTGGGGAACTCAAATTATTACGTTTCTATGCAATCAGATAACACAGTGTACCAGATTTTATTCAAATTTAACTCACAAGTGGCTTATTGCAGAATACCCTCATGATCAACCTCATAGCCAGGTACAGGTCCAAGTGTCACACTCTTCTCAAGGGATTTTCACCTTGTACCCACATAACCAGTCATTCCAGGGGTCGTTTATTAGAGTGGCGGGGTATTCCGCAATTACTCCCAGCTTACAACCCATGCCGTTTTCGTGGCCAGTTAGATATCTTTTTAATTATTTTTCAACTAATTTTTTTTTATTCGACCAATTCTGATATGGTGTGCACGTACCCAGCTACATCCTGTGGCTCAAATGAAAAGTCACAAAAGTGATTTTGTTTCTCAATTACTGCTTTGAGTTTTCAGCAACTTGTCACATAATAGTATTCTGTTTCATCAGAAATGATTACATGAATTAAATCAAGCACTTTGGAGCAAATTTTTAAAAAAATGTTGCGTATGACCTGCAAATTACTTGATGTGGTCACACTTTTCCTGAAGCAGCAGACAATTTACGCAGATATAACAAATGACAATGTCTACAGACCAACTACGCTTGGGCTAGACAGTTATCTGACTGTTCTCCCCCCCCCCCCGAGATAATAAACCGGCTTAGTTCAGGTGAACTTAACCAAACCAGTCTTTCCAACTGTAAGTGTTCAGTGAGAAGCGTGTCACCACTTCCAAACCTCTTTGACATGAGTACATGTATCAGCAGGACCCCACAACGCTGCAGAAAATTGCAAATCTTACTGAATGAAAAATCGCACGAGAGGATCTTCCCTCCCCCCCCGCTATCTTGTGAATCGCTGTGAGATCATTCCAGCATGACAAGCCCAGCTGGAGTAACCAAGCAAATTCTGAGATTTTTATGAATGGCCCGATGTTTTGGATATCTTTTAAATCCTCCTCTGATCTGCTTGTACACTATATGCAGCATCAAAGAGGTCACTTTCTTAGCTGGACTGGCTTCACGACGTTAATCAAAATCAAGAGTTGAAAGTGCAATGTCATCTAAAAACAGGAGTATCCCTCACAAGGGCAAAGCCAAGGGCTTTTACCGTGCCAGTGGTAAAATGAAAATTGTCAAATGTGACCACAAAAGTCGGCACGGGGAAAATTTCACTGTGCCCGCGGGAGAAGTAACCCGACCTGTCAGAGCATTGACTTATGAGGGCGCTTTGCGTGACCTTTCTGCATTTCTTTTCATCCTTGAACACAACATTACCATCCTCATGATTAGCTGGGATATTGTGCACTCTTAACACCAGTTAATCTTCCAACTGTATCAGTAATAGTTTCTACCATCATCGAGACCAAAAGAGGAACAAATGTACTGGAAATATTCGCCACATGCCACAACGTGATGAAACCTGCAACTCGCATGAGTAGTTTCCCTGTATGAGGCATGTCATTGTGCTTGGGCCGGAAATACGCTCTACGGGCCACTTTCCCATGCTTTTACTGGCCCGTGCTGTCTGCACTGGACTTTCCATCTCAGGAAAAGTGACTTGGTAATTTTTCCTGGGCAGAAGTTGGCCAGTGAAAATGGCAGAAGTTGGCCAGTAAAAATGAACGCATGACTCAGTAAAAGTAACCGAGCGGAAAACTTCCTTCCAGTGGTGCGCACTGGACCTGAAATAGGAAAAATACCCATCGTCTCAGTAAGTTCAGTCCAGTGCAGACAGGGCTTATGATTGTGTTTGTTACTTTCTGTCAATTAAAATGTATATATATATCCAATTTTTACTAACGACATCTCACAAACTGCTATCAAATTTCAGGATTCCCTCCCGATCGCACCACCTGCTGTGCAAGTGAGTTAACCATTCGTGTTTTCACGCTCTTATCAATCTTGTTCAAATGTTGATTTCGGTTGACAACTGGTTTACCTCCGTACGATCAGTCAAATAGAATCGGTGTCTTTTAATCATTACACATTGCAGGGGACCGTTGCTGTAAACACTGACGA